AGATTTTAGAAGTTCCTACGCAGCGCAAGTTTGTTTCAAAATGGTGCCACGCCCCCTTTAACGCCCACAATCGCTTATATACGATTTTAAAAATTTAAATATTTCGGAAAAGTAAAAATGCAGTTTTATTGTGTTTATCAATACCTATCGAAATGTAGAAGAAATTTTTCAAATCGGACCATTCGTTAAAAAGTTATGCGTGATCAAAGTTTCTATCTCCATCTCCCTCGCACTCCCTTTACCTGAGTAACGGGTATCTGATAGTCGGGGCACCCGACTATAGCGTTCTCTCTTGTTTAATTTAATTTTGGTGGATTTTTGAAAATTATTCCTGTTGGGCGACAGTTATTTAATTGTGTTTATTTATTTAGATACCAAGGTATTTCTTTATTTCACTTAAGCCTTTTCAAGCCAAAGATATTTTAATTCATACAATGGATTGTTAATTATAATATTATTGTCGGCCTCTCCTGACAAATCTCTGCGTCCTCGCAAGATTCAGGGGCTTAATCATCTTCCAAATCGTCATCGTCATCTGGCTCCTCTGGTGGCAGCTCACACCAGCGTTTCATCTTGTCAGACGAATACACCGACTTGTAGTGTCTCTGCTTCCGTTGTGCGTGAGGGATATCTTCAACAAGATATCTGTCGTTCGGTAGGACCTTGTTGATTATAAAAGGACCTTTATAGCGAGGCTCCAATTTGCGAGATGTGCCCGTGCTGAATGGCTCATTCTCGACCAACACAAGGTCTCCAAGGCTGTAAACAGTTGGCTTCGCATGTTTGGCATCGTAGCGTTTCTTGGCTGTAGCTCGATGATCGTTGATAGTTTTCGCAGCATCTGCTCTAAGCTGTTTCAATTCTGCACCTGTTAGCATCTTTTGGTCCTGGCTTTGAATGATGTTAGTTATGGCGTTCTTCAAGATATCTCGGGGTTCATACCCGTACAGGAGCTGAAATGGGGAGCATTTAGTACCATGGTATTGATGCTCCACTGGATTGATCGAAGGTTGTCATCCCAACGCTTATCGATGTCATTCGATGGCAACAACATTGATAAGATGATTCGGTTAGTTCGCTCTGCGTGACCATTAGCTCTGGGTGTCCTTACAGCATTTAAGATATGTTTTACATTGTTTGATTTGCAGTACTTCTCGAAGACTTTGGATGTAAAAGCTGTTCCACGATCAGTGATAATAATGCGATCTGGCATTCCCAGGTAGCTGGTTACCTCTTGCAGGACATCCAGGACATGTTTGGTTGCTGTACGTTTCACCGCTCGTACGATGGTGAATTTGGTAAGTGCGTCGACTATCACGAGAATATGCTCGTTTCTCTTTGAACTCTTTGGAAATGGTCCCAGGTGGTCCATATGTATCGTGAAAAGGGGAGGCTTGACGTCATCGTAGTGGTATTGACCTTCCTGACGTCCACCTGGTGTTTTATAAAACGCACAGCCCACACATGACTTGATGTAGCTTTTAACATAGTTTCGCATTCGGTGAAACCAAAACGTATTTAGAATTCGTGCCATTGTCTTATCTGTGCTCATATGTCCGGCCTTGTCGTAACATTCATGTAGAATGTGGAATCTCAACTGCTTCGGCACAACCCATAACAAATTGTTGTTATGTTTTCGAAACAAGCGATCTTGCTCAATCACGTACTCTTCGGTTTCAGCTTTCTTTTTCAACTTCATGCATGCAATAATTTTCTGGACCTTCTCGTCTTGTAGTTGTATAGAAAATAGCCAATCCTCTTCGTCGATTGTGGTCTTTCCTATCTTTAGACATGCAGTATCCATCTCTTGAGCATCATCGAATGGAGCTCGACTGAGTGCGTCTACATGGTTCATATGTGTTCCTGCTCGATGAACGATGTCTATGTCGAATTCCTGAACACGCAACCACCATCTTGCGATCCGGGGTATCAGTTCTCTCTTTTCCATCGACGTCTTAAGGGCATTACAGTCGGTGATAACCTTTATCTTCTTGCCATAAATGTAATATTTAAATCGCTCCAATGACTCCACGACGGCTAGAGCCTCAAGTTCGTAGCTGTGATAATTCTTCTCCGGTTAGGAAGTAGCTCGGGTATAATAAGCGATTGGTTTCAGCTGATCCAACTCACGCTGTAGCAATACTCCGGCTAAACCAACGGCACTGGCATCCGTATGTAGTTCATGCTCTGCGTCTAGGCGATAACAAATGACAACTGGATTTGAGATTAGACAATTTTTCAACTCGTTGAAGGCTTCTTCTTGTGTCGTTTTCCAAGTAAACAGCTTATCCTTGTGCGATAGACTTCTCAATGGCGCTGAAATTATAGCATACCCAGCAACAAATTTTCGGAAATAACCAGTGACACCCAAAAACCTTCTCACATCGGTAACATTTGCTGGTTTCGGAAACATTCTGATGGCGTTCGTCTTAATTTCTCCAGGACTTATTCCTTCTGCGTGTATCTGGTGACCAAGAAATGTGATTGACTGCTTATATAACTCACATTTGTCCAGGTTTAACGTTAATCCGCACTCCTTTAAGATTTTCAGGATCCTAACAAGCTTCTCGTACATCTCATCAAATGTTTGGCTGCCAATAAGGATGTCGTCCATGTAGTGTATCATATCGCCTTTCTGGCTCGGAAACTCGGTATGGGGCTTGTGCTACTACCTGATTGCTTTCGACGGTGATGTGTGCTTTGACCACGCTTGTCTTTCCTATGCCTTCCAATCCTGTTGAGAAAACATCGGCGAACTTCTCCAGTACACTTTCCTTGTCGTTCTGAAAATTTTCCAGAAGCTTTGCGATCTTGGTAGCATTTACAGGGGTTGTCGGCTGATGGACTGCTCGTTTAATTTTTTGAATCGCCTGACTCAAAGTTGAGCTCGAGATGAGCGGAAATGATGACGTCCTGTCCCAATAGAAAATCCTCTAGCAATAGATCGTCGTCCGCTATATACACCTTTGCTGTGATCGTCTTCCCATCGATTCCTATATCCACAGCCATCGCTTCTGTGAGAATTCGTGAACCTCCGCAAATGCCTCTTATCTTCATAGAGCACTTGTGGCGCTTGGCGTTGATTTGCTCGGCAAGTGCTTGTCGGATGAGACTGGCTTGACTACCTGTGTCGATGAAAGCGCTGTAATCGTGCGAGTGTACGTAGATTTTCCGGGTGAACAGATTGTCCTGATTTGCGGCTCCTAAACGCATGACATTCGTAGCTTGTTGATAGTTTCCGCAGCATCTGCTCTAAGCTGTTTCAATTCTGCATCTGTTAGCATCTTTTGGTCCTGGCTTTGAATGATGTTAGTTATGGCGTTCTTCAAGATATCTTGGGGTTCATACCAGTACAGGAGCTGAAATGGGGAGAATTTAGTAGTACTATTTACCATGGTATTGATGCTCCACTGGATTGATCGAATGTTGTCATCCCAACGCTTACCGATGTCATTCGATGGCAACAGCATTGATAAGATGATTCGGTTTGTTCGCTCTGCGTGACTATTAGCTCTGTGTGTCCTTACAGCATCTAAGATATGTTTTACATTGTTTGATTTGCAGTACTTCTCAAAGTCTTTGGATGTAAAAGCTGTTCCACGATCAGTGACAATGCGATCTGGCATTCCCAGGTAGCTGGTTACCTCTTGCAGGACATCCAGGACATGTTTGGTTGCTGTACTTTTCACCGCTCGTACGATGGTGAATTTGGTAAATGCGTCGACTATCACGAGAATATGCTCGTTTCTCTTTGAACTCTTTGGAAATGGTCCCAGGTGGTCCATATGTATCGTGGAAAAGGGGATCGGCTTGATGTCATCGTAGTGGTATTGACCTTCCTGACGTCCACCTGGTGTTTTATAAAACGCACAGCCCACACATGACTTGATGAAGCTTTACATAGCTTTTACATAGTTTCGCATTCGGGGAAACCAAAACGTATTTAGAATTCTTGCCATTGTCTTATCTGTGCTCATATGTCCGGCCTTATCGTAACATTCATGTAGAATGTGGAATCTCAACTGCTTCGGCACAACCCATAACAAATTGTCGTTGTGTTTTCGAAACAAGCGATCTTGCTCAATCACGTACTCGTCGGTTTCAGCTTTCTTTTTCAACTTCATGTCTGCAACAATTTTCTGGACCTTCTCGTCTTGTAGTTGTATAGAAAATAGCCTATCCTCTTCGTCGATTATGGTCTTTGCTATCTTTAGACATGCAGTATCCATCTCTCGAGCATCTTCGAATGGAGCTCGACTGAGTGCGTCTACATGGTTCATATGTGTTCCTGCTCGATGAACGATGTCTATGTCGAATTCCTGAACACGCAACCACCATCTTGCGATCCGGGGTATCAGTTCTCTCTTTTCCATCGACGTCTTAAGGGCATTACAGTCGGTGATAACCTTTATCTTCTTGCCATAAATGTAATCTTTAAATCGCTCCAATGACTCCACGACGGCTAGAGCCTCAAGTTCGTAGCTGTGATAATTCTTCTCCGGTTAGGAAGTAGCTTGGGTATAATAAGCGATTGGTTTCAGCTGATCCAACTCACGCTGTAGCAATACTCCGGCTAAACCAACGGCACTGGCATCCGTATTTTCGGAAATAACCAGTGAGACCCAAAAACCTTCTCACATCGGTAACATTTGCTGGTTTCGGAAACATTCTGATGGCGTTCGTCTTAATTTCTCCAGGACTGATTCCTTCTGCGTGTATCTGGTGACCAAGAAATGTGATTGACTGCTTATATAACTCACATTTGTCCAGGTTTAACGTTAATCCGCACTCCTTTAAGACTTTCAGGATCCTAACAAGCTTCTCGTACATCTCATCAAATGTATCGCCTTTCTGCACCCTCTTCTGTAACTCTGCCATGAGTCGATTGAAAACTGCAGGTGCGTTCTTCAATCTGAACGGAAGTTGCTTGAACTCGAACAACAATCCCTCTGTGGTGATGTAGGCTCTATCTGATAATATCCACTGTTGAGATCCAGGGATTAGAAGTACTTAAATCTTTTCGCCTCCTGCAGACGCTCTTCGATGTTCGGGACTGGGAAATTCTCCTTCTTTATCAGCTTATTCAGGCGACGGTAATCGACGCACATTCGATCGCTACCATTCGGCTTCTTGATGAGCACCACCGGGCTGGCGTACTCTGACGTTGACATCGTGATTATATCCTGTTTTAGCAGCTCGTCGACCATTCTGCTAACGATTTCCTTCTTTGGCTCGGTAACTCGGTATGGGGCTTGTGCTACTACCTGATTGCTTTCGACGGTGATGTGTGCTTTGACCACGCTTGTCTTTCCTATGCCTTCCAACCCTGTTGAGAAAACATCGGCGAACTTCTCCAGTAAGCTGCGCATTTCCTCACTTTCCTTGTCGTTCTGAAAATTTTCCAGAAGCTTTGCGATCTTGGTACCGTTTACAGGGGTTGTCGGCTGATGGACTGCTCGTTTAATTTTTTGAATCGCCTGACTCAAAGTTGAGCTCGAGATGAGCGGAAATGATGACGTCCTTTCCCAATAGAAAATCCTCTAGCAATAGATCGTCGTCCGCTATATACACCTTTGCTGTGATCGTCTTCACATCGATTCCTATATCCACAGTCATCGCTTCTGTGAGGATTCGTGAACCTCCGCAAATGCCTCTTATCTTCATAGAGCACTTGTGGCGCTTGGCGTTGATTTGCTCGGCAAGTGCTTGTCGCATGAGACTGGCTTGACTACCTGTGTCGATGAAAGCGCTGTAATCGTCCGGGTGAACAGATTGTCCTGATTTGCGGCTCCTAAACGTATGACATTCGTAGCTTGGCAACGTCCGTTTGCTCGTGGAACTTGTTGCATTTGGTACAGCGTGACTTTTTCCTCTCCTTTGGACACGACTTAGCAAAGTGCCCAATTTTTCCGCAATTGTAACACTTCAGGGATTCCTTCGACTTTGGCGGTTTTACTTCGGTGTCCTGCTTCTGCTCGAAGTTGCTGGCTTTCGTTGAATATTGTTTCTGGGTCGTACTCGTCCTTCCTTTGTAAAGAAAATAAGAGAAAATAAGTTGTTTCATTGTTGAGAAATGAATTGCTGCAATACTATTTTGCAATTCTCGATGCTGTAGACCTGAGCGAACATATTTGATGATTGCTGCCTCGCTGAGCTTGTACCGCACCCCAAGGGCTGACATCCTGAAACAGTACTCCTTTACCGTCTCCTTTGATCGCCTGGTTGCATTGGCCATGTTGAAATGCAATTCTGCTACGTCTGGATTGGCGCCGAACTCGTCCTGTATAGCATCGGCGAAGTGCTTCCACGTAGTATGTAGAACGGGTGATGAATCTAGCCACATCTTGGCTGGACCTTTTAGCCTGGTATAAATAGCAAGTAACAGGAACTTCTCGTCCCACTGGTAGGCATCAACTACTTTGTTGACACGATCGATGAACTGGTCGACTGAAATGGCGCTGTCGTCGCTGGGATCATATTCTGGCAAGGTGTTGGCAATTTCCTTGACTGAAGCTTGCCTCACGTTGTTGGTAGCCTGTACAGGAATGTTCCTCTCGTTGCTGATCTCGTCGATATCCAAATCGATTATTGGCTGCCGTTGCTGCTGATAATTTTCTGCTGTGCAGGTGCTGCGTTTCCCATTTGAACGGTAACTAATTGAGCTAGCATGTCCTTTAGTTCCTTCATTATACCCTTGCAGAGGGTATTATAATTTTGGTCAAAAGTGTGCAACGCAGTGAAGGAGACATCTCCGACCCTATAAAGTATATATATTCTTGATCAGGATCACCTCCTGAGTTGATATAGCCATGTCCGTCTGTCCGTCTGTCTGTTTCTACGCAAACTAGTCTCTCAGTTTTAAAGCTATCGAGTTGAAACTTTGCACGCACCCTTCTTTCCTTTGCACGCAGTATATATGTCGGAACGGCCGGGATCGGCCGACTATATCCTATAGCTGCCATATAACTGATTGATCGGAAATGCCATAACATTTGTGTTTGTAAAGTTAGGAAGTTGGAATTTTCTATGGGTTTTATATTTAGCCAATCAATCCGACCTACCAAATTTCATAAGGATCGGCCGACTATATCCTATAGCCGCCCTATAACTGATTGATCGGAAATGCCATAACTTTGGTTTTTGTTAAGTTAGGAAGTTGGGATTTTCTATGTGTTTTACTTTTAGCCAATCAATCCAACCTATCAAATTTCATTAGGATCGGCCGACTATATCCTATAGCTGCCATATAACTGAACGATTGGAAATGCCATAACTTTGGTGTTTTTAAAGTTAGGAAGCTGGGATTTTTTATGAGTATTAAGACTGCATCATATGAATAATTTTGGAGAATATAATTTACAGAATATTCTGCAAGGGTATATCAACTTCGGCTCCGCCCGAAGTTAGCTTTCCTTTCTTGTTTTGTTTTGCAATTGAGAAATTACCGCTGACTGAGCTGACATTGCTTCTTCTTGCTGCATTGTGAGCCCCACTGATGCTGGCAGCTCGACGTCCTCTGATTGTTCAAACTCAATTAATCTTTAAACCAATTTGGCTCTCGTTCCCGAAACTGACACGTTTCTAGATCTTAGCAGGAACCTTAACACGTCGCACTTAAGTTCTGCTATCTTCGGCATTTCTGGCAATTCCTGGTATTTTTACTACTAGGTGCAAGCGAGACAACTATATGTACCTCACAAAGTTCTGCATCTGCTTGTTCACTCTACGAATACACACAAGCTTCTTGTATGCTTCTAGAGAACTCCGGCCTCTAGAGAATTCTTATTTTCTTCGAATTGTGAAATTCACCAATACGCCACAGCCTCACTAAGAATCCTGGTCTCCCAGGATCTGTTTCGCTTGAAACCGCCTGCCACGTAGAACTGGAACACATCCGTAATCTGCAATTTCCGTTGTCACATAGACCTTTGGGAACACATCCCATTGCAAACTTTCCACGCCGACGATTCTCGCTGCTTTTCTTAGAGTTTTTGGCACAACTCCTCCGCTTCACACGTATCCAACCACACTGATCCCACTTCTGAACTGTAAAGGGGCAGCTTTAACGAGTGGTGTATTTGGTGTATTGGTTTATTTAGGGATAATTAGGTTGAATATATATTACATATTAAATTGTAACTTAAAGCGTCTTAACACGTTCTGCTCAGGAGTACGACTCTATTTCGACTGCTTATAATTATAAGTCTGGTAACACTACCAAAGGGACTGATAACGATATAATAAATTAGGCGCTGTTCACACGTGTATAAACTTACTTGGTATTGGCGAGTCCAATTCTCAAGTTAAGAAAAAGGTACACACAATGGTGAAGTCGCGTATAAATGGTAGTGAGTTCTTTTTCGATTTTTGGATTTTGAAATCAATATCAGGATATCATCCTGACCAGTCGGTCAATATCAATGACTGGAAAATTCCAAAGAACCTACCACTAGCAGACCCCTATTTTTACAAACCACAAAGAATAGATATGTTAATAGGAGCAGAATCATTTTTCGAATTATAAGCTGTTGGACAAATTAGACAAGGTCCTGACTTTCCAACTCTGCAGAAAACCCTCTTCGGCTGGGTTGTATCGGGTAGATATAAGGCATCTTCCCCTACAGAAGTTGTGAAAAGTTTCAGTTGTAGTGAAGAGATTTTAGTGTCTATTGACAGCACACTACAGAAGTTTTGGTCACTGGAAAAAATGCCATCTCTAAAGAAAATTCTGTCACCTGGGCAAAAGTTATGTGAAGAACACTACCGGAAGACTACTCAGGTTTTGCCATCAGGTCGGTTTGAAGTAAGACTGCCGTTTAAATCGGATCCAAATGAGTTAGGCAACTCGTTTTTGTCGCTTGAAAGAAGGCTGTCTCGAGACCCTGAGATGAAGATGTACCTAGAATTTATGGAGGAGTACCTTTCCTTAGGTCATATGTCTCTTACAGATAAACTTCCTTCTGCTCCACATTATGTTATTCCACATCAATGTGTTCTGAGACCCCAAAGTACGTCAACCAAGTTACGTGTCGTTTTCGATGCGTCTTGTAAATCGTCAACTCAGAAGTCTCTAAATGACATTTTGATGGTTGGGCCGACAATCCAAGATGAGTTGTACTCAACGTTACTGCGCTTCCGGCTGCATAGGTTCGCCCTGACCGCCGATGTAAAAAAATGTATCACCAAGTGATGGTGAATGAAGCAGATAGGCAGTTTCAACTTATAGTGTGGAGAAGAGACCCCTCTGAGTCCTTGAGATTTTACAAGCTCAACACCGTAACATATGGTACTGGACCAGCCCCGTTTTTGGCTATACGGTATTTAAAAAGGTTAGGTGAGTCTGCCTAAGTTTCTTTTCCTAGAGCTGCTAAGGTTATTGGATCCGACTTTTATGTCGATGATGTGTTGACTGGTGCTGCATGCGTAGAGGAGTTAAAGACTATTGAGTCTGAAGTATCTCAGGTTCTTCAAACTGCAGGTTTACCGCATCTGAGAGCACAGTTAAATCCATACCCATCTCGGACTCAGAGTCAACTAAGGCGTTAGGAATATCGTGGTTACCTAACGAAGATGCCTTCAAATTCCAAATTGACACTGCTGTCATGGGTCTCCGAGCGACAAAACGGAATATACTATCGGTGACATCGAAGCTGTTTGACCCCCTCGGCTTATTAAGTCCTATTGTAATTAGAGGAAAGATCCTATTGCAGGAACTTTGGCTAAATAAGTTAGATTGGGATGAGTAGATTCCTATTCATTTGGAAACAGCTTGGAATATGATAAAAATTACATTGTCTAAATTAGAGGAAATATCTATTCCCCGGTTTGTGCATACCGATCCGATGTCACCGGTCCAATTACATGCCTTTGCCGACGCATCCTTAAGAGCTTATGGAGCTTGCGTCTACATTCGTAGCAAAACTGAAGAAGGTTATAAAATATCGCTGTTGACTTCAAAGTCTAAAAGTAGCGCCGCTCAAGACTAAGACACTCCCAAGGCTTGAGTTATGTGCCACTCACCTTCTCGCAGATCTCTGCCACAGAATCAAGCCCCTATTAAAGGTACCTATCGAACGGATTGTTTATTGGTCGGATTCTAAAGTTACGCTTCATTGGATCCGGTCTCATCCATCTTCATTATCCACATTCGTATCGAATAGAGTTGCGGAGATTCAAGAGTGGTCAGGTGAAGCTACATAACGGCATGTTCCAATGAAACAGAACCCAGCAGATATTGTATCAAGAGGTTGTGACGTCGACGAAATTATACAGTCAATATGGTTTACTGGACCCGCGTTTTTAAAAAGGAAGATGCAAACTGGCCCCAGAATGCACACTTTGACCTAGATGAAGAAGTCCTACTACAAGAATCGAGGACGACTGCGGTCGGACTGCCCGCTGCAGTAAGAAGAATCGAGGGATTTTCGTCACACCTTATACTGCTTCGGGTATTCGTTTATATGTTCCGCTTCATAAGAAAATGCAAAGACAAAAGTGTGGTATTTGAAAAAACTTTGTCGCCGACTGAATATAATGAAGATTTTCTAAAAATTGTCGAGATATTACGGAAGCACGAGTATCATGAAGAAAGAGAAAAAGTTCGTAAACGATCCAGAGTTGGCCCAAGTCTTCAGCGATTGAATCCATTCATCCATGAAGACAAGGGGACTTGGTGTCACTTTTCTTTGTTGGGGGCGACTAGCTAATGCTCCTATATCATACGATTCCAAGTTTCCATTGTTGTTAACAAAACGCTCCCAATTTGTGCAGAGCTATGTTCGGCATCTTCACCATTCCAATTTTCATGTTGGTTCACGAGCCCTTGTGAGTCTCCTTCGAAATCGTATTTGGATCGTAAACGCTCAGGAGGTCTGCAGTCAGATAGTTCGATCATGCATACGCTGCTTTAAGTGTAAGCCTAATGGCACAAATTATGGGAAATTTACCCGCAGATCGTCTCCGTGCTCTCCGCCCATTTGCTATATGTGGCGTCGATTTTTGTGGCCCTGTCTATACGACATTGAAAATTCGTGGTAGGACTCCGTATAAGTCCTACATTGCGCTCTTCGTTTGTTTTGCGTCCAAAGCGGTTCATCTAGAAGTTGTTTCAGATATAACCACAGATTCCTTTTTATTGGCTTTTCAAAGATTCGATGGGCGCCGAGGATGTCGACCATTGCGACAACGGGACGAACTTCGTCGGAGCGAGTCGCCACTTCCGGGCCCTTCGAGAGAGGATAGAGGACGAAGCCGACGCGATACGCGAATTCGCATCAAAAATCGGATGCGAATTTGTCTTCACACCACCGCGGGCTCCGCACATGGGCGGACTATGGGAGGCAGGTGTCAAAACTGCCAAGAGCCTACTCCTACGGGCGGTGGGCAGCGCGCTCCTAAGCGCAGAAGAGCTGGGGACAGTCTTCGTGGGAATCAAGGATTTTCTATGTGTTTTACTTTTAGCCAATCAATCCAACCTATCAAATTTCATTAGGATCGGCCGACTATATCCTATAGCTGCCATATAACTGAACGATTGGAAATGCCATAACTTTGGTGTTTTTAAAGTTAGGAAGCTGGGATTTTTTATGAGTATTAAGACTGCATCATATGAATAATTTTGGAGAATATAATTTACAGAATATTCTGCAAGGGTATATCAACTTCGGCTCCGCCCGAAGTTAGCTTTCCTTTCT